ATATATAGAATTACAGAACCATGTATGAAGAAATACACACACACACACAGAGAGACACACACAGAGAGACACACACACACACACACAGAGAGCGATGAAGGTGCTTGATTCATAAATCAAGAACCAAAATTACAGAAGATAAGAGGTCTTGTTTTATAAGAAACTGATCAAAATTAAGTGAGTTAATGATCAAAACAAGAACAAATCTGTTAGAAAAATCTACTTAATTCAAAGAGAAAACAAGTTTACATTCCCCATTAACAGATATTTGTTCTTGATTTAATCAGAAATCATTTAATTTTGTATCTCCAGTAAATGTATCTTGATTTAAGGTTTTAATATATGTACTGGAAAACAAGACAAACACTGAGGAAGAGATTCAGTTAATCCCACGGCTTTATGAGTTTAAACTTTCTGCTCTGATTCAAGACCTTGATTTGTGGAAGGCTGAATTAGGAGTATTTAAACCCACAGAAAGCCCATCAGTAGTTTCGGTTATATAGGCATCTGTACGCTTCTGTAGGTTATATGTGCACGGCTCTCTCGCTACAGGGTTCTATGTATTACTGTGCTCCTGTGAGTATAAGCTCACTTCAGCTCAAACTACACGGGGAGAATTCATCAGAAGTGTAAGATCAGAGGACTCTGTGTGTCTCAGGTGAACGCTTCACTCACCGCCTGACCGTAGACGGCCTCCTCCGGCTTCCCAGTGCCGTCCACACCGCCGTGAACATACGAGGAGCTCCTGCCGTAAAACCTGCACAGCAAACACCACCAGAGCGTTCAACACAGCCCTGAGAGGACCCGCCCACCCACACGCTTCTCTCCACTCACCTGTGCAGGTAATCCGGCGCTTTATTCAGGAGCGTGTAGTACTGCCGCACAAACTCACGTCCTACGAGCAGGGGGCTCGGCTTCTCCATCACCATCTCTCTCACACACACACTACGACACACACACACACACACGAGAAACACAGCAGATCATGAGAACTTTAATCATAACACAGTCAGACAGGTATTTAAACACTGAAAGAGACGGACAGAACAATAGATAGAATGATAGATAGAGCGTAAACCCTCGTCGGTTATGTAATAAGTGAATGTAAACAGTTGAGAATGAAGATATGTGCGTAACAGTAAATTGGATTTGTATGGCTGATGCATGCAACACCCGCTGAGTGCCATTAAACAGCTTGAAAGATCAAAGACCATTTTTAATATAACTCTGACTGGATTCGTCTGAAAGAAGAAAGTCATATACATCTAGAATGCCTCGGGGGTGAGTAATTTGTGGGCTAATTTTCATTTTTGGGTGAACTAACCCTTTAAAGTGACAGCAGCCTAATATTCCAGCTGACTGTGTGCGTAATCAGAATCAGAATGAGCTTTACTGCCAGGAATGTTTACACATACGAGGAATGTGTTTTCGTGACAGAAGCTTCCGCAGTGCAACAGAATGACAGCGACAGAACAAAAACAGAGATAATAAAAAATAAAATAAAATATAGAACAAGTAAATAAGGAATGCAATATACAAATTGACAACTGTATGTGCAGGTATATTACAATAGATAGTTTTGCACGTTGCATGTGATATTAACCAAACAACAAAAGACAGAAAATCACTCACTGCTCTCGACTGAAGGACTTTCGTAACTTTAATAAGAAACAAAAGAAGTTTGATTCTTACAGTGAAGACTATTGTTTTATTTTACATTCAATTATTCAATTTCTGTAGCAGCTGTTAGCGGAATAATTTAGACTCGCACGGTTTGTTTCTTTTGTATTTGTCCTTTCCTTTTATTACTGACCGTTTAATTATCTTCAATATTTTTTGAGGACTTTTCTTGTTTTTTACTAATATTAGTTAACCCAGTATTCTGCTGTGGTGTTGAGAATCGTGAAACTTCAATAAATGTCTCTAAAATGTAGATATCATGGCAACCTTATGTACAGAAAATATATATTTCATATATATCGCTATCTTTAAACAAACCACTCACGTTTGTCACGTGGCCCTCATAATAGTGTTAAATAATCTGATTACAATACTGACCACAATAATCGACTGATAGACAGAACGATAGATAGATAGATATTTAAAAGAGGAAGAGTTATAGACAGACACTGAAAGAGACAGAATATGGATGATGGAGAGATAAATGCAGACAGACAGATAAACAGACAATATGAGTGGATGATAAACAAATAAACATAAATGGGCAGAAAATGAGTGGACAGACAGACAGATAAACAGGGACGTGCACGTGCGCGCTGCAGCCAAACAATAGCGCTCGCTGCTTTAGCTTCATGCTAACCGCGCTCAAACTCACCTGCTGCGACAGAACCCGTTACACGCCGCACGCTCGCTCTCTCCGCACACACTCGAGCGACGGACCGTCGACCCGCTCCCTCTTTACCGGGAAAACACGACCGACAGCAGCCGAGCCGAAATATACACACACGGAGGCAGACGTGCGCGCGTCCGCCACTCTCGTCTCGCTCGCGCGCACGCACACGCCTGTGACGCAGAAGAGCAGAACGCGTCACGCGCACGCTGAAGCAGTTTCAGGAAACCTTGTTCAGTTTGTTTTGAAAGATACTCTGTTATTACTCTGACTCTGCCAACCAATCTAAAGAATATATATTCTACTTTTTTATTTTGTTTGGGGTTCAATTCCTACTCTTTCACATGTTCTGATCGAGGTTGACTCACTGCTCACATCTCTCTGTTTGACTAGCAATAAAAAATGTCAGGTTTTTGGAATTATATGAAAAATGTATTTCTGTTGACTCTGATTAAGTTTAGATATAGCTTTCCTTCATTGCTCTTTTATTTTCATTATTATTATATTTTCCCCTTTATTGTAAGCGTCTTATTGTGTTTTATTTCTCCTCTTTTTCTTACTTCTATCTTCTTTTCTTTGTTAATGTTCTCCTGAAGGTGATTGTATATTTTCATCCAATTTCTTGAATAAAAAAAAAAAAAAAAGTTATTATATGTCAAATCTAAATATGCGATATGCTCTGGTTCTCTTTTTCTTGTTTTATTTTTGTTTGCTTTTGTTTTTGTTTCTTTTTTTAATATATATATATATTTATGTATGCTTACAATCTGCTTTTATAATAACCCTGCCAAACTTATATCTGAAATAACTAACGCTTCACACAAATATAAGAGTGTTTTCTAGAGAAACTGTCTTCGAGCTCTTTTATTAATTTTGTTCGACTCAGTGTTCGAGAATGTGCTCATGTATTCAAGTTTATTTGAAGCCTAGCGCTTTACAATACAGATCGTTTTAAAGCAGCTTTACAGAAATAAACAGGAAAATAGCAATTAATGATGTAAATGTAAACATATGAGACTAATTCTGCAAGACAAGCGTGTCATTATTCAGCTCAGTGTTGGTTTAGATTCAGTATCAGCTCCAGAAGACAATCATTCAGATCAGCTCAGCTCAAGCTTGCTTTATTCTTATACAATAATGTCAGTGCTGTCAAATTAATAATAGCACTGAATATTATATTAAATAGTATAGAATATGAATTATTCAGTGCTTTTTCTTGGAAGTAAATGAATCTCTTGACAGGTTTCTGATTCAGCGGTCAGATGATTTCTGTCCAGCGGGGCAGCGATGTTGAGTTCCTATTACTGTGCAATGACCTATTCTGTGTAATAATGCCGTGTGCTGTTAAAGATTCATTCACTTGTGTCTTCATTCTCACCAGTGGAGATGTTCCTTTCTGTCTCTTCCCAGATAGCACAGGTACATCTGCAAGACGTCTGGTAAAGATCTCTTCATCTGGAGAGCATCTGCTGTGTACAAACATCTGATAGACGACTGTAAGATGTCAGTTTTACATTCATACTAAATCATAAACATCTTAAAGGCATCTTCTAAACATCTATTTGACATCTGATAGGAAACGTCCTGTAGACGTATTGCTGATGACTCTAAAAGTCTCTGTGATGGACGTGTGCTAGCAGCTTTCAAGGTAATTAGATCTGGTTACAAAAAAAAAACTTGTTGAATTCATTTCAGGACAAAGTCAGAATAAACTTTGAGAACTAAAGGCATCTTTACACATTAAGGCTGCTCTGTGCCTGCTCAAAATTCTGAGTAAAGATGTAATGCTGCATAAAATCCAGACTAAATTAAGCCAGCTCTGCCCCACCTCAGCCCCTAGTATTACTGTAATGAATACAGCTGTAATTGCTTAGAAAATGCATTTGTGCCACCTCTTAGCAGCATTAAACAATCTGTGTGAAGACACCTAAATGGCACTTCAGAAGCGCTTCTGAGCCACCTTTGCAGTGTAAATTTGGCATAAGATTACTCTGATCATCACTGCGTCTCCTGCTCTTCAGACAACCAATATCAGATATAAAATATGGCTTGAGATCTGGAAACAAACGAAACTGGTTGACATGTGCTGTTCTACATGATAGCACCGGTAGGATTTAATTAACAAATGACAAAAAACACCCACTGTCAGAGTTGCCTACTGTGAGGAGCGAGAAACGAGGAGACGTGGAGGAATTCACGAATACAGTCTTTAATAATCCACAGGAACAAGGAACATACATAGCAATGGGGATAGACGTTAGACACCGGACCAAAACTGGAACACAGGTCTGACATTACCTCCCCCTTCCGGAAGGCGCGTCCATGTGCCACATAACTTCCAATGGGGATGGAGGGTGGGCGCTCTGGAGGCCTCTACGGACAGGCTTACACGGGACAGAAGACCTCCAGGGCGGTACCCGTTCCGGGACCCATGGTGAATCAGGCAGTCCAGGGAGCCATGGAGGAGTAGGCAGACTAGGGGGCCATGGCGGAGCAGGCAGTTCAGGAGGCCATGGCGGATCAGGCAGTTCCCGAGAGCAATGGCAGATTAGGCAGTCCAGGGAGCCATGGAGGAGTAGGCAGACTAGGGAGCCATGGCGGATCAGGCAGTTCAGGGGATCATGGCGGATCAGGCAGTCCAGGGGGCCATGGTGTAGCAGGCAGACTAGGGAGCCATGGCGGAGCAGGGAACTCAGGGGGCCATGGCGGAGCGGCCTTCGTGACCTTGGACTCGGCACTCGGCCTGGCCTCTACGGCCGGATCCTTATAGCCCCCCCAAAAAATTATTTGGGGGAAATTTCAGGTTCTGAGGCCCTCCGTGGGCCAGATGTGGGAACAGCGGCCCTCCCTGGGCTTGACTTGGGAACAGGAGCCTTCCCTGGGCTGGACGTGGGAACGGGAGCCCTCCCTGGGCTGGGCGTAGGAGCAGAAGTCCTCTCTGTGATTAATTTGGGAACAGAGTCTTTCTCTGGGCTAGGCGTAGGAGCAGGAGCCCTTTCTGGAGTGGACTCAGGGGCTGGAGCCCACAGTCTCTTCCTCCGAATTCTCCTTTTATGAGCAGAGGTGAAGGAGACTGCTGCTGTCAGCTGAAGGCTTGGGAGTGAATCGGCCGGCGGGCTTGAGAGTGCAGTGGCCGGGCTAGACAACAGAGCGGCCGTCGGGCTTGATGGCGGACTGGTTCTGAATCGGGGCCGGACACTCTCCAGACACCAGAGGATCCCTTCCCTCCAGCTCAGTCCAGTGGTGTCTGGGAGATCGACAGGGCGATGGTAATTGGCCCCGATCCAGAACAGAGAATTTAGTGTAGCGTCATCCAACGCCATCAAGACGGCGAGCCCGCAGAATTCCCGGGTGAATTCCACAAACGGGAGATCCCTGCGGGCTAGGGCAATGAATCTCGCAGCGATTTCCATGAACGCGAGGGGAAAACGGAAAACAGAAAACTTTCCAAAACGGAAAAAAAAGGAGGAGAAGGGGTTCAGCTTACTGTTTGTCAGGTCCGGTGTTCTGTCAGGGGTGCCTACTGTGAGGAGCAAGGAACGAGGAGACGTGGGGGAATTCACGAATACAGTCTTTAATAATCCACAGGCACAAGGAACACACGTAGCAATGGGGATAGACGTTAGACACTGGACCAAGGAACACGGAACAGACACCACTATATATACGCCAGACTTAACGAGGAACTCAATGGAACACACCTGAAATCACTGAACACAATCAACACGAGGGAAACTGGGTCACAGGGAGCACATGGGGAGTAAAACACAACAAAACTGGAACACAGGTCTGACACCCACAGACTTGAGCAGTAATGTTATCATCACTGAGGTTTATTGGTAGAGATGCTTTTTCTCCAAGCAGAAATAGTGACACACACACACTCAAACACACACACACACACACACACTCACTCTCTCACACACAGACACACACTCTCACTCTCTCTCTCACACACACACACACACACACACACACACACACACACACACACACACACACACACACACACACTCTCACACACACACACACACACACACACAAACTCAAACACACACTCACACACACACACACATAATAAAGCTCTTGTGTTTCCTGATGATGGTGTGAACGTACATAGAGCGTCTCGTCTGCTGCTGAGATCGACTGCAGAGACACAAAACACACACAAATACAGAACATCTGATTATGAGAAAGAACAGACTACATAACTAAAAAGAGCAAAAACAGAAGAGTAAACAGTGGGGACTTACAGTGAACGGGAGGGAGATGGTGAGAACTGAGGAAGCACTGAGTAAGGATTCTCATGGTGTTTGATGATAGACACACTGAATGATGTTTGTGTCTCACCCAGAATTTACATTTAATTAAAAACTCAACACTCCCTTAGGCATGTGTAACCACACACACACACACACATACTCACTCACTCACACACACACTCGCTCACACACACACACACACAGACACACACACAGAGACACACACACACACACACATACTCACTCACTCACACACACACTCGCTCACACACACACACACACAGACACACACACAGAGACACACACACACACACACATACTCACTCACTCACACACACACTCGCTCACACACACACACACACAGACACACACACAGAGACACACACACACACACACATACTCACTCACTCACACACACACTCGCTCACACACACACACACACAGACACACACACAGAGACACACACACACACACACATACTCACTCACTCACACACACACTCGCTCACACACACACACACACAGACACACACACAGAGACACACACACACACACACATACTCACTCACTCACACACACACTCGCTCACACACACACACACACAGACACACACACAGAGACACACACACACACACACATACTCACTCACTCACACACACACTCGCTCACACACACACACACACAGACACACACACAGAGACACACACACACACACACATACTCACTCACTCACACACACACTCGCTCACACACACACACACACAGACACACACACAGAGACACACACACACACACACATACTCACTCACTCACACACACACTCGCTCACACACACACACACACAGACACACACACAGAGACACACACACACACACACATACTCACTCACTCACACACACACTCGCTCACACACA